GTCGCCCAGGCGTGAGGCTGGGGTGGGGGCAAGCCTGGGGCAGCAGGTCCCGCACCTCCTCCCTGATCCCCTCCCGAGGGATTAGCAGAGGGAGGGCAAGGGGCTGGAAGCCCAGGCTTCTTAGAATCAGTCCATGACCATCCGGGTGGAACTCTTTCAGTGTGACCTCCCTGGACTTTCCGTTGAGGAAACTGAGTCAGGCAGCAAAGCTGGAGGTTTGGCACTCCAGCCTCTGGGTGATCTGACCTGGCTCTACCCCTCCAGCTGGGCTGATAGCCTGTGGGTCCAAGCTTTGCTCCTGCGGCGGCACCCTGCCCCCGCCCCGCCCTGCATCCCCTTCTACCCCAGGCCCTGCCTAGCATCTTCTGCCCCACGCAATAGGAAAAAACTCCATGCCACCTCCTCCCCTTGGGGAAAGAGCTCTAGCTCTCAGGGAGGCAAATGGTCCCTTCTCAACCAGGGCGCATATTGCTGGAATTCCCTTCCCATCCAAGTCTACCCTGCACCCACCTTTCTGGCTCATTCCCTCAGCCACTGCAGTGAAATCACCCTTAAGGCCTCAGGCCTGTTGGTCCCTCTCCTCCTCCAGGAAGACTTCTCTTGGACTCACCCCACCCATGGCCGAGGATGCCCTGGGGCTGGAAGCCAGTTGCCCCATCCCTGTCCTTCTGGTCCCCCACCTTTCCTCCTAGGTTCCTTCTATCTTTACATAAAGTTCTACTGCCCAGAAATCCAGAGTGGGGGTCAGAGGCCAGGCTCAGGGAGATGGGCAGAGAGACACAGGAGACCTGCCTCAGTGACCTGAGCGCACAGCTGTAGTTCTGCACCTGCCCTCTCCCCACCCCCACCCTCCTCTCCCAACCCCCCTCCACACCCTTCTGGCAGGAAACCCCTCAGGCCCCAGAGGAGAAGGGGGATGGGAACTGGAGAAAGCTGTGGTCACAGAAGCACACTGAGGAATCAGATCTGATCCTGGGTTGGGGAGGCTGTCAGTGGGGCAGGGGCTGGCCCCTGGGGGGTACGCTAGGAGGAAAATGGTGTGCAGCCTTTGTCACTGCAGGAAGAATGCAGGAACAACTTTAATGCTGGTGGGGAGAAGAGCCGGTGGGGTGGAGGGGGGAGGGGCTCCCCCTCAGCAGAACCTTGTCTCCAGGTCAGCTGTTGGGTGTGACACATTCACCTGGGTGGGGGACCCGTGAAGGGACACACAGACACCGGGGGTGCTGCCACCCCTGGGTCCCAGCCTGGGTCACATCTCCTGGGTGTTTCTCTGTACCAAGCCTTGTTGACTCTAAATAAGGTGTGGGCTGGAGGGAACCGGCTGGAGGGGGCCCTGGGGTGAGGTGGCACCTGTCAGGGTCCCTGGGAAGGCACCCTCCAAGGAAGGGTAGTTGGGGGAGGAACTCAGATCTCCACCAGGCCTGGGCTCTGGACCCAAGTGGGGGACCGGCTGGGGTATTTCCGGGCCTTCATGACCCCTGCTTTGCCCCAGGGGGGATCTGGGCCTCAGCGCTTCCCGCTGACAGGGCCAGGCCTGCAGGGCCTCCTTGCTAAATCTGGCCCCACTCAGTTTCTCCTCTGCTGGAATGTGCTCCACCCCTCAGTGCCTGCCTCAGGCCCCTGGAGGTGCCCGCACACCCCCTGCTGTGTTCCTCCGCATGGGGCCTGCCCACACTGCACATGGTCTGTTCTGGGTGGCTGCCAGCCCCATTCAACGCAGACCTGGCTCTCCAGGCTGCCCTGTCGGGCGGCTCCTCCCCCTGCGGCCCGGGTAACAGCAGACAGAGGGCGGGAGGCTGTGCTGGGCCAGCTTCTCTGTTCACACGCCCTGGCCCTGGCGGGAGCCTCTGGCTCTCCGTGGCCCATCCTGGCCAGGCCGGTTTATGCCAGTGAGCTGGGCTGCCTGAGAACCTGAGAACTGGAGAATGACCTTGGCAAGGAGAGAGGCAGCCAGTACCCACTTTGGTCCTCAGAGCCTTACTGGTTTCTGTGCCCCAAATATCTGGACACACCTCGGGGTCTCCCCCTGAGTCCTGCAAGGGCATACACTGGGCTGCCCCTACACAGACATTCGACATCACCTGCCCACGTACCCACATTCTCTCCATGAGCACGCACGCTCGTGTGCGGACCCACACGCTCACGCTGAACCTACAAGCATGCACACACACTGTCCCACATTTCCTCACTCTGATCACACCCATCTGCAAGCGGTCACACACATATTTACACCCATCCCCACCTACGTGAAGGTGGGAGCACACACGGACCCAGGCACGCGCCTTGCCCTGGGTTAGACACACAGACACCTTCCCCAAAATGCACGCATGACATGTACCTGCAGACACGACACGCAGTGGCACGTATGTCCCCACCGCGAGAAAGCACACAGTCTGCCCTGCCACACACATTCCCTGAGAACACCTGATGGCACATTTCCTCATGCTGAGTATCCTGGTGTACACGCACAACCCCCCCGCCAACACACACCGATTCACACAAAGCATGTATCACAAACACACACTCTTGGGGCAGCGGGGAGCTCTCTCTGGACTTGGGGTCTCAGTACAGGGTAAGGGAGATGACTGAGAGGTTCCTGCAAGGTTCCTGCCCTCCCTGTTGGGTAGCCTGAGCTGGGGACCCCATCCCCCAGCTACAGAGATGGCCCCTCATCCGGGGCAGCCCATGGTGTCACTCTGCTGGACCGAGAGCCCCCTAGATCTTCCTCCGCCTCAGATCCTCCTCTTTCCCTGAGCCTAAGAAGCAGAACCACCCAGCAGCGCCCACCCCCACCCCCCTGCGGGGATTGTACTCACTGACACGGGGGTGGGTGATGTAGTTTCTGGTGACCGCTTGCATGTGTTCTCGGGCTGTGCCCAGGTCACAGCCACTGCCAGGGACTCCCCCGGGCCTACTGTCTACCCTCATGGCCATGGCGAGGCGGCAGGCTGGGAGCTGAGGACGGGAGCCTGCTGGTGGCAAGTGCAATACTTGAGGCCTGGCTGGAGCTGGAGGAGCTGGAGAGGGCGGCTCAGACCGCCCCAGAGGCCACCCCTCCCCTCACCAGTCCCCTCCTCCCTGAGTTGACTGTAAACAGGGAAACCGGCCTCTGGTCCAGAAGCTCTTCCGGATCTGGGAGGGGACCTAAGCCAATGGCCAGCAGCAGCTGCCAGGAGGGTAGCAGTACAGGGGTATGGCTGGCCCTCTAACCTCTGAATCTGGGTGTTCGTTTGCCCCCAGTGGGGCAAGGGTGGCCAGGGTGAACTCAGCTCTTCCCCTTGCTCCAGACCACATCTCTTCCGGGTCTCCACACCACATGTACTTTCTGGCAGGCTGTTCTCTCCCCACGTCTCTTCCTCACTGTCTCCCCATTCTTGTGCCAGCTTCAGTGCCACCTCCTACAGGAAGCCTTCCCTGCGTTCACCACTCATCTGGTGTCTTTCCTTTGTCATGCCCTTTTGGAGAATTGTCTCTTGTCACTGCCCCTAGACTCTGAGCCTCCAAAGAGCTGAGTTTGTGTCTCCTCCATCAGACTTGGGTCTCTTTAAGTCTTTCTGTCTCATAATACTGAGAGCTTTCTGGGAGCTGGCACAAGTCTCCCTCTATCCATTCCTAGGACCATCTTACCTTTTTATATTTCACCTGCCCAGTGTCATGCCACAGACCTATCCTGACATTTTTCAGCTCAGAGCAGAACGTACAAATGGAGGAATCCTCCTGGTATCTAGTGGCTAAAGGAGTCATGGGGTCACAGGTCTGCTGGACAAGTCAAGGTGGGCACGAGATAGTGGCTCAACCCACTGAACCGAAGGTTTGCCCTGGTCACTCCCATGTTTCATTCCAGACTCAGGATGTCCAGCCGGCAAACTATACCGCCAACGCAGAGGAAAGGGAGGAAACTCTGTTGTCTGGGGACCCCTGTCCAGGGTGACTCAGGCCAGCCAATCCGAAACCAAAATATGTCTTCCCCAGAGCAGACTGTGGCGAACCGTACTTGGCTTTTCTTCCCCAAAGATTAAAATCTCACCTCCAACCTCTGGCCTGAGGACCCACTTTGGGTCCCTGGTCCCTATCTCAGTATTTCCATTCTTTCAACATCTCCTGGGTGTGTGTGTGTTGGCGGGGGGGTACTTTGCAGAGGGGACCTTTGTGGTCATTGGCAACCCTGCACCCGGACTGCAGTGTGGTAGTTCCACAAATCTCACCTGGGGGATACAATGACAGGGAACCACGCCCACACAGTACCCACATCCATTTCCTGCTCCCAACAGCAAACTTCGCTTATGGAAAATGCAACTACTGGTGGACACAGGGCGAAGGGTACAAAGATTTCTTTGCAACCTGCTATAAATCCACAGTCGCTGCCAAACAAAAAGTTAAACACAAGCGTCTTACTTGAATAAAAAGACCGTGGTGACCGTGGGGGTGGTGACCGTGGGGGTCGTGTTCTCTGGGGCACGCGGGATCTCACCTGGTTTTACCCTGTCTAACTCTGGATCCTGATCCCACCTTTCACTGTTTACCCCTCTTGGAGGACTTAACATTTTCACCTCTTAGGTATTTTCGCTTCAAGGAGGAGCTTACAAAGAGCAATGTTTAACCAACCAAGGCATCAGTGTTGCAGCCTCGGGCTTTGCAATGCCCAGGTGGGAGCTCTAATTGGGAGTAGGCCTGAGGTGCCTGTCATCCCACACATGTGGTACCCGATCCTCCCCTTAACTGTGAACATGGTCTAGCGTCCACTCCCCCGCCATTAGAGCACCCCAGGCTCAGCCCATTCTTCTTCCCAGAGAGAAGGAAAGAAGGGATTGAGGGCAGTGGTGGTGCTGTGGGGACTCCGTTTCCCTTCTTGTCATTGTTTTCCTTTTATTTCCGTGAGAGGCACACACACACACACTGCACTCACACGCACAAGCTGCAGGACCAAGGCGTTCTGGTGGACAGTCTCTGAGCTGGGGGACTGGCGGGGCCGGACACGTGCTGCCCCCACGCTCTGGGAGCCGGGCTCCGGGCAGCCCACGGGTCAGGGCAGACAGGGACGGTGCCGTGCTTGGGGACTCAGTGTCACAGGGTGGTGGAGGCTTAAAAATTGGCTTTCTTGCCACCTCCAGGGCTGCCTCCTCTCTTTTCCAGCCGACTGTAGGGCTCGAAGGCTGAGGAGCTGAGTTCATAGCAGGCGGGCAGGTCCAGGAGAGGAGCCATGGAAAAGCAGAGTGCTGGTGGAGGGGGTGGCCGTGGCGGGGACGCCGAAGCCGAGGCTGAGGTCAATGGGTTGAGGCACGGGGAGGAGTTCCTGGGGTCACCCAGTGAGGTGGCCCTGTGGCCGGCAGGTGGGCCCAGTGGGCCAGGGTTCAGCGCCAGGAGGCTTGGGGCCCTGGGCACGGACAGCAGCCGGCCCTGCTCCAGCAGCCGCAGGATGTTGGAGGTGGCAAAGGCCTCAGAGGCCGAGGAGGACGCCCGCTTCTCCAGGTCTCTGCTCTGGTCTTTCTTCTGCTTGGTGCGGCGGTTCTGGAACCAGACCTTTACCTTGGGGCAGAGGGTGGGGAGGGGTGCCAGAAAGGGAGAGGGGACAGGTGACGCAAGGAGGGGGTAGGTGGGAGGAGAGAAGGAGAGGGAAGACATTGAGGGCAAGGGAGTGGGGAGTGGGGGAGCAAGGGTGGAGCGAAAGGGGGGGAAAAGAGCATTCAGAATGTCACTGAGGTCTTTCCACACCAGCCTGCTCGGGGTGAACCAGATCATGGACATGCGGTGTGATCTAGAAGGTGGACACAGACTCCCAGTAGGCAGCATCTGTGGGCTCGCAGAGCGCTCACCTTATAGGGAGGAGCATGGCCCGAGAAGGGGCCGGGGGAAGCATGGGGTCCCAGGCAGGGACCAGCTGCCAAGTGTGAGGACCTTCCCACTGCTCCTGGTCTCGACCCCCACACTGCCTCTGAAGGGAGCTTTCTTTCCCCATCTGTGTGAACCTTTCAGCAGCCCCCTCCCCCCTCATGCCATATAAAGGCCGCCAGCCAGGCTTCCTAACGCGACACCAGGTGTGACAGCATACAGAAGGTTGCCAAGGGGGCTTCCAAGGGCCACACACTCAAACCTTGGGACAAAGAGGTGCCAAGTCCTCCACATCTAAGTGCAGCCACCAAAAAAAGGGCAGAGAGAGCCCCTTTCTCCAGGTCTAGGAAAGGAGGCAGGAACAGCCTCTCCCACCACCCAAGGCCTGGTGCTCCGAGCCCCGTTCTAGTCTGTAGAAGAAACTGGAGGCTGGGAGCGAAGCTCAGGGTCAGCGCTCATGGTGCCAGGATTTCCTCCCCACTGTGAGAAGGAGAGGGTGTTCCCCTCACAGAGGGCGAGGAGCATGGAAGAATCATTTGTAGGGACTGGAAGGACCTGAGAGAAGAGTGACGCTCCTTCCCCAGCCGGAACGCTTGTCAACCCAGCATGGCTGCACCCAGATTTGTAGCCCAGGAGTGCAGAGGCTGTGCTTGCTTCTGGCCTGGAAGTCAGGAGGCTGGCAGCTGGCTGGGGGCAGTGTGGGCCCACAGGACAAGGTGGGGGGGCACAGAGAGGAGGGCACAAGAGAAAAAGGATGGGGTAGCCTTGCTGGTGGACTCCAGCTTTGCGAGGGTGTAAGGGAGGCCAGCCACTCCTGTGGCTCCAGGGAAGGAGCCCAGAGGCAAGAAAGAGGAGGCAGGAGTGGGAGGGCTGGCTGGGTGAGGATGAGGGCCCAGTGGAGGCCCCCTGGGGCGATGCCTGGAGAACCCATCTCCTAGGAGCAACCACCCCTCTAGCGCCCCCAATGGTGAGTCAGACCTGTTCTGAGTCAGACCTGTTCTGAGTCGGGAAGGAGAGGAAGAGGAGATCTGAAATAGACAGGAGTCTGGTGTTTTAAATTGGACTGGATTGAGTTTCAATGATAGAAATAACCAGAAGGTTATGGGATGTACTTGAGATTGAGGGCTTCCTTCCTTCATTCATTCATTCGCTCAATCATTCATTCTGTGGCTATGTACTGAGTGCCTACTACCTGCTGGGCGGTGTCCTCGACGTGGGGGGCGGAGAATGAGCAGGGACGAAAGCAGAGCAAATCCTTGGTGTGGAGGAGAGAGTACCAAGGGAGAGCCAGAGACGAAGAAGGGCAAATGAGAACAGCGTGATTGTCAGGGGGCGTGAAGGGCTTTGGGCAGTGTCCCTCAAATTATTCGTGCTGAGGAACCGCCTTAAAGTTTCCAGTCTGTTGTGGACCAATGTTTTTGTCAAATACAATTAAAACGAATTACACTTACTCTCCCTTTGTGCACCTAACTCGTCCTGGACAGGGAACAGTTTGCGGGGGACCCCAGACCTGAGAACCGTACTTGGAGACACTGGTTTGGGAAAAGGCCGCAGGATGGAGGGGGAGAGAGAGGGGAGGGGACTAGCTCATTACTTAGTGGGTGGCAAACACGGCCTCTCTGAAGAGGTGACATGTGAAGGAGATAGCAGTAAGGGAAGGTCAAGGGCATTCGACTAAGTATGGCTGAAGGAAGCCACTGGAAAGAAAACCTTCCTGAGTTTGTCACTCCCTGGAACTCCAGGAAAGGGTCCCTCCAGACCCTTGGGGAAGTGGCTCTTGTAGGACCGAGGTACCACCCCAAGAATGCCCCAGCTCAGTTTCTCATCTCAAAAATGGGGACAAAAATACCTGGGCTGTTGCAGGGATCAGATAAGGAAGTCCATATAGACGGCTCTGCATGGTGTCTGGCCTACCCGGAATGGGAGCTCCTGGCTCTGAACTAGGGGGAGAGGACAGACCCAGAAGTCAGGATTCCTGTCCTGGGGAAGCTGAGGGTCCAGGGGGAGGGTGGCACTGACCTACTCCTGGCAGCAAAGGGAGTGGCAGTAACAAGAATGTGATCCGTGAGGAATGACAAAGCTTGGGTGGGTTGGTGGGGGGAACAGGGAGAGGGACATGTGGGCTGGCCCCAGGTCCAGAAGTCTCCTGGGGAAGAGGGAAGGGGGGGCAGGGGCTAGGGTCTGGCATGCCCATTTCTTGGGCCCTTATGGGCCACATCAGGGGCTGTCAATCCCTGAGATTACCTGGAGTCATTTTCTAGCAAAACCAGATGCCCATGCCTCATCCCAGCTCAGAATCTCTACAGGGTGAGGCCTAGGCATCCTTATTTTTAAAAACTTTCTGGATGTGATTCTGATGTGTGAACTAGGGTAGAAGATGCTGGGGCTGCAAAGGTGGGGGCGAGGCACCAGGCCTGTCTACTTCCTATCATCAGTCCCACAGTCCCTAAAGGGCCAATTTGTAAGGCTCAGCAAACAAGTAAGAGACAGGCTCATAGCCTCTGGGCTCATCCCTCCCTTTCCTCAAGGAAACTTTCAATTCCACCACCAGGGCCACCCTCTCTCAGGGTTAAATCTGGGTACAGGTCCTTTATGGCCCAATTCGATGACATACTGGATGGGCCTGGATCCTGTGCACAAGTATACTTCCTGATGCTGGCCTCCCCTTGCTTTCTTGGTGCCCTGCTGTGTCTCCCTGCAGGCTGCCATCCTGCCTCCTCCTTCTCCTGGTTCCCCTGGAACTCAGGGAATCCTTGGGGCCCTCTTACCCGCAAGGGACCACACGGTGAGTCAGTAAGTCAGTAAGTCAGTGAGTGGCACACGAGGGGAGGGGAGTGGTTTCTAGCCGGCTGCCAGGATTAGGGAGGTGTTTTCTGGGAGATCATCTGTCCCCCTTTCTGGGCTCATGGTTGGCCTTAAACCCCAAGCCTCACTGTGGATTTGGAAATGGCATTGGTCTTTAAGAGGCTGCCTCCTGGGGTGCCTGGCTGGCTCAGTGGGTCAAAGCTCTGCCTTTGGCTCAGGTCATGATCTCAGGGTCCTAGGATTGAGCCCCACATCAGTTCTCTGCTCAGTGGGGAGTCTGCTTCCCCCTCTCTCTTTGCCTACCTCTCTGCCTACTTGTGATCTCTGTCTGTCAAATAAATAAATAAATCTTTAAAAAAAAAAAAAAAAAAGAAGAGGCTGCTTCCTGTGACTGTGAGCCCAAACCTATTAACAGTACTTGCGTATCTGCGACGGCCCTGGTTTTTGTAACCTGGAAAGTACCCCCTACTCTGCGGTTCCGGATGAAGTGATCTGGGGCAGAGGTGATGGGTATGGGGCTGAGGTAACTGTCGAGGAGCCAGAGCTGCTCTTATCCGAGCTAAGGGATGACCAAGTCAGTATTGGGACGTGGCCCTTTGTCTTCAGCTTCCAGCCTGTCTGGGGCCCTGGCCTTGAAAAAGTCTCCCAGGTCAGCCGAGTGACGGGGGTCTTGGAGCCAGCCTCCCACCTTCCTTTTCTCCACAGCCATGTCTTCTTTTCTTGTTTCCAGCTCTGCCTCTAGTCATTCATTCATACAACACATAAACAGCAAGCATCCAGCCCAGCATTGCCAGGTGCTAAGGAAACAGGAATACCTAAAACTCACCCACTTAGCTCTCAGATGCCAGTAGCAGGGAAAATGGACAGGTTGGTAAGAGTTACAAGACAGTAGATGTTTTGGTAGAAGTAGCAAACAAGACAGTGAAGATCTTGGGGTCAGACAGACCTGGATTCAACTCCGGCCTCTCCTTGATTAGTGAGAATGGCATGGGGCAAGTTACTTAAACTCTCTGGTCCTCAGTTTCCTTATCTGTAAAATGGGATTGTAATAATGCTTCCTCATAGGTTTGCTGTGATAACTCAATGAGCTAATACTAGTGGATTCAGTAAAGTGTCTGGCAGATGCTTAAGTCTTCCCAGCAGTGTGGTACCACAACAGTTGAAAAATACAGAGGTTGTTAGGTCTTCCCTAGAAATTCTGACTTGGAACCTGTGGGCTGAGTATGGAATCTGAGCCAGGAATCTGCATTTTAATGAGAACCTCAGGGGTTCTCCACAAAGGTGGTCTGCAGACCACACTTTGAGAAACACTGGTTTAACCAAGCACCATATATTCTCTTTGAAATGAAGCATGGGCACGAGGTGTATCAGGAGGTTTCTAAACACAGCGAGAACTGGGCTAAGTGGGACCACCCTAGTTCTCTGATGTGGAGAAGAGCACATGCCGCTCTGGGGAGCTGGGGGGAGGTGATTCTGATGGTTCCAAGAAATAGCTCTTTCTGAGACCCCCACCTGCTCTCCAGCCTTCAGGGTCTCGGCAAGGCCAGGGCCAGAGGTCAGTTGTGTCCTGCCTCGTTCATTGTCCCTACATCTGAAGAATGCCTCAGCCTGCAGAACTCTGTAGGCGGTGGGGAGGGAAGGCTTCACTGTTCTGCCCACCAGGTCCTATAAGGGGGCTCTCATTAAAAGTGCAGACAACTTACCTGGCATATAGAGATTAAGGAGGAGATAGGGAATGAGAACGGGCCCTGAGTAAGCCCATGCTCTCTCTGCCTGAATTAGGACCCTCCTGATAACCAGGAAGAGGGCAAAGATGCTGGTTGGCAGGAGGAAGAGAAGTGGACAGAGGCAGTCACTTGGAGAGCAGTTGGGGGCATAGCTGGGAGCTCCAGAGGGCAAGGCTGTACTTGGCATTGAAGCCCTCGGGTCCAAAATGACCTTCAGCTTCCACTCTCTACTAGGCCTGCTACACCATGGTTCCTATTCTTGGATTTCCACAAGACTGTGCCTCCTGTTTCATCCCTTAGAAGTCCATCTATCATTTGAGCACACTTGAAGGAATCTCTTATCCTTTCCCCCAGAAGAACCCAGACCAAGACCGTTAGGTAAATCAGAGAACATCAACCCCCTGAGAAAACTCAGACATATCTTCCTGACATTTCCACTTGGATCTCAGACTGAACTGATCCAAAACAGAACTCTAGATTCTTCTCCCACTGTCCTGCTCCTCCCCGGCTTTCTCAACTTGTCCATGTGGGATGTGGCATATGTGACCATTTTTCCACATACACCTGTTCCAGTCCCAACCACTTCTCTCTCCCTTGCCCAGTGCACATAATTCATGATGAGCAAGTCCTAACAGGCTCTATCTCCAAATCAGAGTACGTCTCAGATCAGTTCACTTCTCTCCTTCACCATCACCCAGAGCTTGACACAACATGGCAGTGGCCCCACCTTGCCCTCTCATCCGCATTCTCCAGATGTCAGAGTGATCTCTGTAAAATGCCAGTCCTCTCTTCAACACCTCACTATGGCCTCTAAACACTATCTGCTCTGCCCTACCTACTTTCCCTATTACCCTCCAACTCCAGCCACACTGGTCTTCTGACACTTCCAGAACATTCTATGCTAGTTCCAGGTCTTGCCAGTTTACTCTGAGTCTTGACTCCTCTTCTCTGGCTCTTCCTCTGGCTGTCTCCTTTCTGTCATTCACACCTCAGCCCATCTCCTCAAAGAAGCTTTCCCTGATGACCCTAAGGAAAGATTTCTAGTCTCTATTTTATCATGTTTTATCTGCCTCATAGCACTCATCACTCTTTAAATGCTATCTGTCAGGGCGTCTGGGTGGCTCAGTGGGTTAAAGTCTCTGTCTATGGTTTGGGTCATGATCCCAGGGTCCTGGGATCTGCTCTGCTCAGCAGGGAGTCTGCTTCCCTTCCTCTCTCTCTGCCTGCCTCTCTGGCTACTTGTGATCTCTATCAAATAAATAAATAAAATCTTTTACTAAATAAATAAATAAATAAATAAATGCTATCTGTCTCTGCAGAATGGAAGCTGCTATGAGGCTAGGTGCCTGGTCTGTTTTGCTCTGGGCTACGTTTCCAGTGCCGAGAACAGTACCTGTATGTAGTAAGTATTCAGTAATATTTTTGAACAGAGGTATGGGTGAATATATGGAGAATTCCACTGAATTTTAGCTATATAACCTAGAGCAAGTTACTAACCTCTCTGAGTTTCCTGAAATGGGGATAGTACTGCCCATAAAGCCATCTTTTTGTAAAGATTAGTTGAACTAATGAATGTATGTGCCTACTTGATCTTTATTTTTCTTCAAGATTTTTTTTCTTAAGTAGGCTCCACGCTGGGCTTGAACTCATGACCCTGAGATCAATACCTGAGATGAGATCAAGAGTTGATGCTAACCAAATGACCCACCCAAGTGCCCCTAAAATATTTTATTTTTAAGTAATCTCTATATCCAGTGTGGGCCTTGAACTTAAGACCCCGAGATCAAGAGTCGCATTCTCTACTGACTGAGCCAACCATGTTCCCCAAATATGCCTGCCTTAAACTTTGAACGTGTTATTTAATTTCTTTGTGCCTCAGTTCCCCTCTCTTTAAAGCAGAAATAATAAAGGCCTCTTCTGGTATTTAAAAAGTGTACATATTTGACCTTTGTCCCTGGTTCTAGATAGGGAGCCCCTAAAACCCTTGGAATTCCTTGAGTGATAGGAGTGTCTTTTATCATTGATAACGGGTCCCTTTAAGCCACATCTGAGATTATGCTAACAAGGTGACTTCAGGGTGGGCCCTGCACAGTTTCAGGTAGCAGCACTGGTCCCAGAAAGATACCCCCCGCATGATTAAAGGTTTGGAGTCCCCACTCCTGCCCTCCAGGAAGGGGAGAGGGCTGGGTTATAAAGACTCTTGAACAGTAAGGATTCTGAGAGCTTCTGGGTTGATAAGCATGTGGGAGTCTTGGGGTCTGGCACACCCAGAAACTGTACAGAATCTCCTCGAACACCCCCACCCCAACAGCTTGCTCTATGGATCTCTTTTGGCTGTCTCTCTCCCCTGCCCCAAACTGGGATATTTCTGAGTTCTATCCTTTACAATAAGACTGTACATGGAAGTAAAATGTTTTCCTGAGTTCTGCCAGCCATTCCAACACACCGCCAAACCCAAGAAGGGAGATGTGGGAACCCCCAATTTTCCAGCTGACCAGTCAGAAGTACAGGTGGCCCAGGGGGGCCTTGCACCTGGCACCAGATAGGAGACTGTCCTGTGGGACTGAGCCTTACCTGGTGGCGTCTGTGCTCACTGCAGGAGTCTGCGTCAGAACTGAATTGACTAGTTTGACACCCAGTTGGTGGGAGAAATGGGAGAACTGGTTGCTCTTGGTGTTGGGAAACACCACACACTGGGCGTCAGAAGTACAATCTGAAGAAAAACCTCCCTCCCCTCCCACAAGGTCGTGGGGAGGACGACAGGAGTTAGGACACCTCGAGTACTCAGAGCCTGGTACAGAGGTCCCGGTAAAGGTCAGCTGTGCCTTATAGGACCTACAAGGCCTGGGGCTGGGGAAAGAGAAAGGAGGGGAGTAAGCAAGAGTCAGTAAGTTGAGGATTCCCTGGGGTGGGGGTGGGGGTCTCTGTTTGCCCAGCTGTGTGCTGAGCTCCCCAAAGAGACCTGAAAAGGAGATGTGGCTTTCAAACACATTCTTGTCCCCCAGAAGTGTATGCTAGCTAGTGCCCAACACACACACACACACACACACACACACACACACACACGCTACATGCCATATGGAAGGGTCTCTCAGGTGGAGGTCTTATGGAAGTCTTCCTGGAAGAGGAGGGGTTTGGCCTCAACCATCAAGCGCAGGTACACTATGGTGTCTAGGGGTCAGAGCAGGGGAAGGATGAGGATGGAGAAGGAGCAAAGTTTCCAGGTATAGTGTGCGGGCAAAGCGAGGCCAGGCAGAGGGCAGTTAGGATAGGGAGGGGCAAGTATGGAGGGGTGACTCTCTGCCTCATTTCGCTCCAGGAGCTCTGGCCTGGCGCAGCCACTGCAGCCCTCTGTCTGGCAGAGTCTGGCTTGCCAGCCTCTGTACTGAGCATAGCTGGGGCGAGGGTCCCTGTTGCCCGGGGCCATCAGCCGGGTGGTTCGGGGCTCTGCGACTGGCAGCTGCAAGAAAACAGGTCCAGGTGGAGATGGCCCAGGCTCGCAGGACAGCAGCCACCCATGACTTAACTGCACTGGGTTGCTGGGAGGACTTGGTGAATTACTCTAAGCAGAGCCCACAGAGGAGCTCCTGGGCACAGCAGGTCCTCAGTGGTATTATTACCATTATTGTTATCATGCATCTGTTACAGCTTGAAATGCCTCCATTCCCACAGAATGCACACTGACTTTACAAAAGGTTTTCCTTCCGGTCAAGCTTATTATTGTTAAAATGCTAAGCCCTTCCTGGGTGAAGGGGGTGTTCAGACTCCTTCTCTCCAGCAAGAACTTCTGAGGCACAGTGGGATAAAGGGTGTGTATGGAGAGTATGTATGGAGGGGGGCAAGGGGATGGCCCAGAATGGGGGAATAAGTCCCCAACTCAGCTCTTTGATGTTTCTTCTCTTCCTGGAATCTTTGCTCCTGGCAAGCCAACCCCTCCCGCTCCTTTCCTGCAAGGTCCATCTGGCACCAACACCCCCTGATTTACTCCCTGCATCCTGGAGCCCCCTCCTTCCTATTTCTCTGGCTCTTTCTCATATCCCACCCCAAAGTGGCAGATGCATTCAGAAGGCCCCCTGTGGGCCTACGCCAGCGCTCTCTTGTTCCCACTGTATTTACTGCTCTGGTTTACCTCTAACTCTCAGCTTTTCCCTGATACATGTCCAAAGTCCTCCCAAGCTGGGTCTCCCAGTAGCAGCCCACAAGGCCTCACACCCCACAAAGTCCCCAGGCTGCAGGCCGGGGGTGGAGCGGCCTGGCCCTGCCGGCTTACCTGGGTCTCGGAGAGGTTCAGCTGGCGGGCCAGCTCAGTGCGCTCCCGGCCCACCACATACTGGCAGCGCTGGAACTCCATTTCCAGGCGGTAGAGCTGCTCGGCCGTGAAGGACGTGCGGGTCCGCTTGGGCCGGTCCAGGTCCAGGCCCTTAGGCAGGACAATCTCCCGGATGGTCCCCTTGGCATCTGCAGGGGCCATTAAAAGAGGCCAGTTAGTTCACCAGGTAAGGAGTTAGGCCACCAACAATCATCTTCACAAGAGGCAGTGTGATCTAATGGGGAGCTCTTCCGCCTGGGTCTGGCTCTGTGGTGTCTGACAAGTGGCTTACCCTCTCTGGGCTGAGCTTCCTTCATCATCCAATGTAGTATGTTGTATCTATCGGGCAAATATATGTGAACGGGCCTCATTACAAATTTCAAGTCCTCTACCATAGACTGGGCAGAAAGGATTCACTCTGACTCAGCCAGGATTCTGTTCCCTCGGCAGAGCAGAAGGACAAATGGACAGAGATATACCAAGTCCTCAAGTGCAGAGGAAAGGATGGGTTAGAACCGGGCCTGATCACTCAGGTAAGGCTTACTGGAGGAGGCATCCAGGGCCGGGTCCTGAGCCCTGTGCTGGCATGTGCATGCATAGGGGAACACTCAGTCCACAGACCCTCCTGGGGTCCATGAAGAAGCTAGCCAGTGTGGGGTGGGGGGCAGCCTAAGGAGCTGGGATCCCCAGGAAAGAGCCGAAGAACCACCGCCACCACATCAAGCTGCTGCAGTGCCTTCCAGGGACGAGATTTCTACCACTCCCCTTGTACCTAGTTCTGAGCAACAGGACCACCCTCCTGGGTCCTAAACCAACGCCATCTGTGCACAGGGTCTCCAATATTTTGAAGCCTCCTCAAGAGTGGCTGAAATCCCTGCAGCTTACGTTCACTAGATATTCCCACTCAAAGAACTGAGAAACAACAACTAAATGTGCAGCAAAAGTAAAATATGAATTGGAAGGGGGGCTTGCTTATATATACCTCAGCTTTAATTATAGGGGCAGAGACAATCTATGTTCTCCCTCTAGAAGCATATGGCGGGGCTGCTCATGTTTTAGGCGTAATAAAAGCAGACACCTCTGCCATGTTTGCTCTGGGCCAGGCACTGTTCTACGCACCCAAACCCTCCCAATGTCTCAGTGGAGCTGAACTATTTATTAGTCCCATTTTACAGATAGGGAAGTGGAGGAACACATTTTAAGTAACTTAGCTGAGGCCGCACGGACACTATTCCATCAGCTGTATAAATACCCTCACTTTATCTTATGAAGACCATCTTTTGGTAACACATAATGATTCAGTGGATAGGTTATAATGAAGAGAACTCTGGTCTTGGGTACAGAAAAAGAAAAAAAAAACAACTTTGGTCAGGGGTATAGGAAAGGACCTGAGTTTGGGATGTGCTGTCTGGCAGGGGACTCCTGTGAGCCTCACCACTCTGGATTCTGCTTCTAGAATCTCTGCCCTAGAGGGTAAATCTGACCCGCTGCCCCCGGATCCTCCACCGTATGATCTAGGAGACTGGCTCTTCCTGGTACTTTCTACATTCCGAAAAGGTGGGGAGGTAGTATTTGTGACCCCGTTGACTGGGTCCTCTTTGTTCAAGTCCTGTTATTTCCAATTACGAGACCTGTCTCAGAACTTTGTCACGACACCCAAGTAACTCCATCTCCAAAGGCCTTGATTTTATTAAAAGTGTTTTAGGGGGTGTAGACTGGAGGAAGAGTGGCGCTGTCATATGTGGTGCTGGCAGCTTCACGTCTCCTCAGTGAGCCTCTGGAGACCACCTGAGCCTGTGTTCCTGACCACTAGGGTCAAATCACACATGTCCCCTGTCCTTTCCTTCTTGTAGAAGAGCCGAGACAAGCATTCCTGCCTCAGGGAACAGACAAAGTCAGCTCTTCCTCTCAGGGTCAGGGAAGGCAGGAATTATAGGCACCTTGCCCACCAGATATCAAAATGGGCCATAAAAATAAGCATAGGAAAAGATACCCAACATCGCAAGCCGGTAGGGAAAGGCAAGTTAAAATCACAAGAGATACAAATTAGAATAGCTAAAATAAAAAATTCTGAGAGTGTCAAGGCTGGGAGGATGCAGAGAAACTCAATCTCTCAGGCACTGCCAGTGGGAACATACCTGGTACAGCCATGCTGGAAAATGACCTGGAACTTTCTTAAAGGTTTGAATATATATTACCATAAAACCCAGTGACCACATTTCTGGCACTTATCCTAGAGAAACAAAATCTTAGGTTCATGGCAAAATCCATACATGAATGTTCACAGCGGCTTTATTTGTAATAACCACCCCCATGGAAACATGCCACTGAATGTCCCTCAGCAGGTGAGTGGTTAAGCAAACAGGGGTACAGCTAATCCATGGGATATCAACTGAGCCAACCAGGCACCCCTTGATAATGTTTTATAGATATGCAAAATGTCACTTTTGGGAGAAGGGGCACCTGGATGGCTCAGGCGTTAAGTGTCTGCCTTGGGCTCAGGTCATGATCCCAGGGTCCTGGGGTCAAGGCCCGCATCGGGCTCCCTGCTCAGCAGGAAGCCTGCTTCTCCCTCTCTGCCGCTCCCCTTGCTTGTGTTTCCTCTCTCACTGTGTCTCTCTCTGTCAAATAAATAAAATCTTTTAAAAAAAAGATATAAAACTAGAGCTGTAAAGGAAAGACAAAGGATATAGCCGACTATATTAAAGCTAATGCCTTTTGTAGGACAAAAGCACAAATTTTACCAAGATAAAATATTTTTTTAAAATTGAAGAAAAAAACTTTTTAAAAAGGTAAAGAAATTATCTATAATGCAATAATAAACAATTTTTTAAAAAAGCAAATAGTCTAAACTGAAAAATGGTCAAATAATTTATCTGGGCCATTTAGAGAAAAAGATACCAAATGACCAATAAACATAAAAATGAGACAGCTTCACAGAAATCAGGATGCTGCAAATTCACACGATGGAAAATCATTTGTCTCCCATAGGACTGGAAGGACATTAATGAATGGTTAATAAATCAATGATGAACTGTAGGAGGTGCCACACTCCCATTTAACGTTGGTAGGACTGTAAACTGTCACCACCTTTTTAGGCTGCATAAGACACACGTAACTTTTGCCCCAGCATTTTATTTTAGTAAGTATTTATCCAGAAAAGCATACATTCAAGTGCTCCAAAGTATATGTAAGGATGTTTGCTACAGCTTTGTTCAAAATTTTGAAAATCTGAAAGCAACCTCAAGGTTCCCCACAAGGGAAATGACTGAACAAATGATGGTAATTCATACTACAAAATAGAGTGCAGCAATTTAAAAGAAGGACAAAGTATTTACATGAACTGACATTAAGTGAAACAAAGTTACAGAATAACATATGCAGTAATATCCCACTTAAGTAAACGAAACACATCTTCATATCCAACCATTCAATACATATTTAATGAGCACCTACTATGTACCAAATACTATTCCAAGGTCTGGAGATATAGAAATGAGCAAAAGAAACAAGGTCCTTGTTTCCTTAGACCTTGTACTGTGGACAGAGAAAAACAATAAACTTTAAAAATGAGTACGTATGTAATGACAAATGCTAGGATGACAATAAAACAAGATAAGAGGATATTGCTGACCCTCTCCAAATTACCAAAACCCAATAACCATAGTGTGTATGTGCGTGCGTGTGTGTGTGTGTGTGTAGTTGCTACTTTAGCTATAACAGAGAAAGCTACTAATCAAAGTTAAGTTAATGGATAAATTATGAATGTTGTTCACCAGTGTTTCCAACCCCTCCCCAGCACATGGTAGGGTTGCACTAATTTTCTGCACTTTGAAATTAGATACAACTATATGACTGACTTTAGCCAAAAAGAAAAGAAAAGGTCACCTTCTGGTGGACACTTTAAAAACTGGTTCATAGGGCGCCTGGGTGGCTCAGTGGGTTAAGCCTCTGCCTTCGGCTCAGGTCATGATCTCAGGCTCCTGGGATCGAGGCCCGCATCGGGCTCTCTGCTCAGCTCAGCGGGGAGCCTGCTTTCTCCTCTCTCTCTCTATGCCTGCCTCTCTGCATACTTGTGATCTCTCTTTCTGTTTCAAATAAATAAAATCTTTAAAAAACAAAACAAAACTGGTTCATAATCTGCCATGGCCCTTCCCTCTCACTGGGATGGTCCTGGAAATAGGAGTCAAGACGGCCGGTCATCAGCCTGGATCTCTGAGTACCAAACTGAGCCTGAGCCTACTTGTGATGCACTTATCATGAGAGTGAAAAGTACACTTGTGTTTTATTCAAACTCTAAGATTTGGGGTTGTCTCGGAGGCAAAACCTAGCCCCCTGGACACAGCCCCCTTCCCTGAATTTTTCCTTTTCTGGGTGGAGTTTGGGGGAAGCACCTAGAAAGAGGGACAGCTTTAATTCCAGGGCCTCCTTGTGGGTAGGGACTTGTTAGGATGAAAATGCACCCCCGAGGCTTGCTGCCTTTCCGGTCTCCTCAAAGAGGCGTGAGTCCTAGGGGGATGGGAGAGGGTGATCCTGTCCAAGGAGACTTTGCCTTGGGGGAGGTGGTCATCTCTGACTAATAATGGCTAGCCAATGTCCCTGACCTCTAGGACCAAATATTACCCACTCCTGGTCCCTCTCCCAGTAGATGCCCACAGAGCCCTTCCTGATTTCAACCCCCAGCACCCAGGTAGTTCCTTTGCATGATGAGCTGGTAATGTGCCGATTTTAAAGTGTGACAAGGTCCTTCCTGCCTTAATCTACAAGGTGATTATTATAAAAGTTCCTTATGGAAAATTCATCTTCGAGTTTATTGGGAAAATTAAAAATGGAAGAATAGTGAGGAAACAATGTGAAAGAATGAGGCAAAAATGCTTGCTTTACCCACCCCCCCCAGTAGAACATATTACAAATCTACAGCAACTAAAATGGTATGGTGCCGGCACAAGAATCTGGAAGCAAATCCATGCATATATGAGGATTTTTATAAAGAAGACATTTCAGGGATGCCTGTATGGCTTAGTTGTTAAACGCCTGCCTTTGGCTCAGGTCATGATCCCAGGGCCTGGGCAAGCCCAGCATTGGGCTCCCTACTCAGCGGGAAGCCTGTTTCTCCCTCTCCCTCTGCCTCTGCTTGTGTTTCCTCTCT